ATTTTACAATACCATTCAGTTCTATATAACATCCTGGAGGAGGTGGGAAGGGGTGGTGGGCTGGGGGGAAGGGGGGGCCAGGAAGGGGGAGAACAAGGGAATCTGTGTCTGTGTCCCATTTTTAACTGGATTATTTGGTGTTTTGATGTCTAGTTTGTTGAGTTCTTTATATATTTTGGAGATCAGCCCTCTGTCAGATGTGGAGTTGGTGAAGATCTTTTCCCATTCTGTAGGCTGCTGTTTTGTCTCATTTACTGTGTCCATTGCCTTACAGAGCTTTTCAATTTCAAGAAGTCCCATTTATTAACTGTCGATCTCAGTGTCTGTGCTACTGGTGTTTTATTCAGGATGTAGTCTCCTGTGCCAGTGTGTTCAAGGCTATTTCCCACTTTCTCTTCTATCAGGTTCAGTGCAACTGGGTTTATGTTGAGGTCTTGAATCTATTTGGACTTGAGTTTTGTGCATGGCAATAGATATGGATCTATATGCATCCAATTACGCCAGCACCATTTATTAAAGATGTTTTCTTCTTTCCATTGTATGATTTTGGCATATTTGTCAAAAATCAGGTGTTCATAGGTGTGCAGATTTATGTCAGGGTCTTCTATTCAATTCCATTGATCCACATGTCTGTTTTTATGCCAATACCAACCTGTTTTTATTACTATAGCTCTATATTAGAGCTTGAAGTCAGGGACAGTGATGCCTCCAGTTCTTTTATTGTACAGAATTGTTATATCTATCCTAGGTTTTTTGTTTTTCCATATGAAGTTGAGTATGTTTCTTTTGAGGTCTGTGAAGAATTGTGTTGGGATTTTGATGGGAACTGCATTGAATCTGTAGATTGCTTTTGCTAAAATAGCCATTTTTACTATGTTAATTCTACCTATCCAAGAGCATGGAAGATCTTTTCATTTTTCTGATATCTTCTTCAATTTTTTTCTTCAAAGACTTAAGTTCTTGTCATAGAGGTCTTTCACTTGCTTGGTTAGAGCCCAAAATATTTTATATTATTTGTGGCTATTGTAAAGGATGTTGTTTCTCTGATTTCTTTTTCAGCCCATTTATCATTTGTATATAGGAGGGCTATATCTTTTATCCTGCCTCATGACTGAAGGTGTTTATCAGCTGTAGGAATTCCCTGGTAGAATTTTTGGGATCACTTATGTATACTATCATATCATCAGCAAATCGCAAAAGTTTGACTTCTTCCTTTCTAATTTGTATCCCCCCCCCTTGATCTCTTTTTGTTGTTTCATTGCTCTAGGTAGAACTTCGAGTACTATACTGAATGGACATGAAGAGAGTGGACAGCCTTATTTTCTTCCTGATTGTCATGGAATCGCTTTGAATTTCTCTCTATTTAATTTGATATTGGCTCTCAGCTTGCTGTATATTGCTTTTATTGTGTCTATGTATGTTCCTTGCACCCCTGATGTCTCCAAGATCTTTTATCATGAAGGGCTGTTGGATTTTGTGAAAGACTTTTTCAGTATCTAATGAGATAATAATGTGTATTTTTCTTTCAGTTTGTTTATATGATGGATTACATTGACAGATTTCAGATGCTGAACTATCCCTGAATCTCTGGGATGAAGCCTACTTGATCATGGTAGATGAGTTTTTTGATGTGTTCTTGGATTTGGTTTGTCAGTATTTTATGAGTACTTTTGCATCAATGTTCATGAGAGAGATTGGTCTGTAATTCTCTTTCTTTGTTGAGTCTTTGTATGGTTTGGGTATTAGGGTAACTGTGGCCTCATAAAAAGAGTTTGGCAATGTTCCCTCTGTTTCTATTGTGTGGAACAATTTAAGGAGTATTGCTAGTAGCTCTTCTTTGAAATTGTGATAGAATTCTGTGCTGAAACCATCTGGCCCTGGGCTTTTTAGGGGGAGGGGGCAGAGGAGACTTTTAATGATTGCTTCAATTTCCTTAGGGGTTGTAGGTTTATTTAAATTGTTTATCTGATCTTGTATTGTTGGTTGTTTTTACTCTTTTGTGGAGCTCATCACCCAGCTCCCAAATAAATCACACACAGAAGCTTATTCTTAATTATAAATGTCTGGTCTTAGCTTGGCTTGTTTCTTGCCAGCTTTTCTTAACTTTAATTATCCCATCTACCTTTTGCCTCTGGGCTTTTTCCTTACTTACTTCTGTATATCTTACTTCACTCTTACTCCATGGCTGGCTGTGTGGGTAGGTGGCTGGCCACTACCATCCTCCTCTCCTTGTTCTCTTGCTCTTTCTCTTTTGCTTCCAGATTTCTCCTCCTATTTATTCTCTCTGCCTGTCAGCCCTGCCTATCATTTCCCCTGCCTTACTATTGGCTGCTCAGCTCTTTATTAGACCAACAGGTGTTTTAGACAAGCAAAGTAACACAGCTTCACAGAGTTAAACAAATGTAACATAAAAGAATGGAACACCTCTTTCCATCATTAAACAAATGTTCCACAGTTTAAACAAATGTAACACATCTTAAAATAATATTCTACAACAGTCTTGAGTTAATTTTGGTATGTAGTACCTATCCAGAAAATTGTCCATTTCTTTCAGATGTTCCAATTTTATCGAGTACAGGTTTTTGAAGTACGACCTAATGATTCTTTGGATTTCCTTGGTGTCTGTTAGGTCCCCCTTTTCATTTCTGATTTTGTTAATTTGGATATTCTCTCTCTGCCTTTTGATTAGTTTGGTTAAGAGTTTGTCTATCTTGTTGATTTTCTCAAAGAACCAACTCTTTGTTTCATTGATTCTTTGTATTGTTCTCTTTGTTTTTATTTTATTGACTTCAGCCTTCAGTTTATTTCCTGCCATCTACTCCTCCTGGGTGAGTTTGCTTCTTTTTGTTCTAGAGCTTTCATGTGTGCTGTTAAGTCACTAGTGTGAGATTTCTCCAAATACTTTATGTAAGCAATCAGCGCTATGAGCTTTCCTCTTAGCACTGCTTTCATAGTGTCCCATAAGTTTGGGTAGGTTGTACATTAATTTTCATTGAATTCTAGGACATCTTTAATTTCTTTCTTTATTTCTTCCTTGACCCAGTGGTGATTCAGTTGAGTGTTGTTCAGTTTTGATGAGTGTGTTCGCTTTCTGTAATTTAGATTGTTGAATTCTAACTTTAAGCCATGGTGATCTGATAAGATGCAGGGGTTACTCCAAATTTCTTGTATCTGTTGAGACTTGCTTTGTGACTGAGTATGTGGTCAATTTTAGAGAATGTTTCATGAGGTGCTGAGAAGAAGGTATATTCTTTTGTGTTTGGGTGAAATGTTCTATAGATGTCTGTTAAGTTCAATTGAGTCATAACATCTATTAGTTCCCTTATTTCTCTTTTTAGTTTTTGTCTGGATGATCTGTCCACTGGTGAGACTGAGGTGTTGTAGTGGTATTTGCTCCACCCATGACCTTGGGCTATATGGCCCAAAGTCTTGCCCTCATACAAGACCTCTTAAAAGGAAAGAGAGAGGGGTCATGAGGCCCCTTCTGCCTGGTTCCTGGGTCCTGGCATGAGTGGACTCAGGTGGATTCACTCCCAGTCAGAATAGAGGACAACTTCAGCTATTTACTTGGTTCTGTATTCATGAATATATTTCCTCAATTTATACCCTAATAAATTCCCTAATACTCCTTCAGCAGACTCCCATGGATTTCTCACTTAAGAGAAAAAATTAGGACATTCTGTTTCATATCAGAGGAGCCAACTGGTGTGGGACAGAAGAAAATCAATAATCTAGGGACCATTGTTGTCAAGATTCTATTTCTCTCCATGCTTATTCTCCATGCTTATTCTTGATTTCTCAGAATCCTTCCTCACATGTCATGTCATATTAAGATCCAAACTTTCCATTTTGATATTAATTCTGTTCAAGTTTTCCACAGTAAAAAATAAGTCTTTCCAATTGTAATCTCTGAAGTCTCCAAAAGAGATGGGGCCCTACAACAACGATTCTACCAGTCCATAATGGACTGCAAACTCTTCAGGACAGTTCCAAGATGAGATGGACCATCATATTACACTTCTAGACAGAACCTCAGATAACCTTACCCATTACTCTGAGACTGGCTACAAACATTACAACTAGTCCTATTGAGACTTAACCATTTGGCTTTCTTACAGGATCCCGCAGAGACACCATCACCCCCTAAACAGCAGGAAGTAATTTTTTAAAAAATGACATCCCCTCTCTCAAGAGTTTTTATTTTCTCAGGGTTATGGATAAGTTGTTATAGGGTTGGTGTGGGGGATGATAAAACTTAGACTCAGGATTCTTTTTTGGAAAAGAAAAAGAGGGAATGGTTAGGTATAGTATATTAAGGTAGATTATTGTATTTACTAGTAAACTAATTTAGCAAATTACCAGCCTTAGATAATTTGCACTGATGTGGATTCTTGTATATTGATACAAATATAAACTATTTTTCTACCCCTATTTAAGATAATTTGTATATTGATATAAATTAAAAATAAATAATTATATTGTACACATGTTCCTACTCCTATTTGAAATATTTTGTATATTGATACAAATGTAAAATTATATTTCTCATACTGTATTATGTTCTACCTCTGTTTAAGATATTTTGTATATTGATACATATTAAGGATATTGTATCATATTGCACTATACATTTCTACCTCTGCTTAAGACATTTTGTGTATTGTCACAATTTTGAGGTCATTGTCCTTATATGGTACATTTGTTTACAGATTGTTTACTTTAATGTGAAGCCTTAGTCCTTAGGTTATTTGGGTAGACAAGACTTACAGAACTATTGTCACCCATGATTGTCATATTTATAGCTATGTTAGGTTTTCCAGATTTACAGAAACACGTCAGATGGATAGGTAATCTTCAAATACTTCATAGACCTAGAGAATAAGGGATTTAAATGTTTTGATAACTTAGAATTCTGTTGACATGAGACATGATTGCTCCTGGCAGCACCAATCTACGCCTGAGAGAATGTTGGGCTTCTATGACACTCTGTTTGGAACTTTGTCTTCTTCTTGGCACAAAATGGCCTGCTGGGCAGAGAATTGCCCTTGCCTTTACTGCTGGCAGTATGAACACTGTCCTTTCTGGATGAACAGGACACAAGGGAAAGTGGCTATTTAACCTTGCCAAGACAGGGTAAGATGGTCTTTCAAAATTCCTGCTTCTGAAAATGGTCTATCAGATATTCTAGGCCTGTAGCCAAAATGAATGCCCCAATGGTGTTGAGAATTTTTAGGTGACTGTCCAGGCTGCCAGCTGTCTCTGTCTATTCTCAAATTTTTTTAGAAGTTGCTTGTTTGCACTTCCTGTTTTCTCAAGTAATATTATTTTCCTTCTCAGTCTTTGATGGGGTTGAAGACTAGATAGTTACAGTTACAATCTTCTCATATCTTAGCTAAGAACATATTAGGTATAGCGTTAGATTCTTCAGGATAGGATAGCTATTGGAGTAATCTTGGTAATTTGCCATTTACCTATGATCTGGACGTTTCTGGACATTTAGCATGTCTTTCTTGTTTGATGTTCTTGTTGATTGTAGTTCCATTTTTGTTTATGTTATTACCCTTTGTTTCTCCTGGACAATACTTGATAATCATTCTTATTGTATGTAGTTTGCATTAGGTTTAGAACCATCTTATTTAGACAAAAAGGGTAGTGGTATTTTCCCCACCCATGACCTTGGGCTATATGGCCTGAAGGAGGCAGTGCTTCTGGCCCTCATACATGACCTCTTAAAAGGAAAGGGAGAGGGGTCACAAGGCCCCTTCTCCTTGGTTCCTGGTTCCTGGCTTGAGCAGACTGCCAGGTGGATTTGCTCCCAATCAGAACAGAGGACAACTTCAGCTGTTTACTCAGTTCTGTATTTTTGAGTATTATTTCTCCAATTTATACCCTAATAAATTCCCTAATATTCCTTAAGCAGACTCCTGTGGATTTCTCACTTTAGGTGTTGAAATCTCTCACTCTTAGTGTGTGGGGTTTCATGTATGATTTAAGCTTTAGTAATGTTTCTTTTATAAATGTGGGTATTCTGTATTTTGGGCATAAATGTTCAGAATTGAGACTTTATCTTGATGGATTTTCCTGTGATGAATACAAAATGTACTTCTCCATCTCTTTTGATTAATTTTAGTTTGAAGTCTATTTTGCTAGACATTAGGATAGCTACACCAGCTTGTTTCTTAGGTCTATTTGATTGGAAAATCTTTTCCCAACCCTTTACTCTGAGGTAATGTCTATCTTTGAAATTGAGGTGTGTTTCTTATATGCAGCAGAAGGATAGATCCTGTTTTTCTATCCATTCTGTTAGCCTGTGTCTTTTTATAGGTGAATTGAGTCTATTGATATTAAGAGATATTAATGACCAGTTAATTCCTGTTATTTTTGGTTTTGCTGGTGGTGGTGGTGGTGGTGGTAGTAGTGATAGAGTGTGTGTATTTCCCTTCTCTGAGATTTGCTGGTGTGACATTATCTATTGCCTGTGTTTTTGTGGGTGCAGCTAACTTCCTTGGAATTTTCCTTCTAGTGCTTTCTGTAGGGCTGGATTTGTGGATAGGTATTGTTTAAATCTGGTTTTGTCATGTAATATCTTGTTTTCTCTGTCTATGGTAACTGAAAGTTTTTCTGGGTATAGTAGTCTGGGCTGGCATCCATGGTCCCTTAGTGTCTGAAAAATGTCTTTCCAGGACCTTATGACTTTCAGAGTCTCCATTGAAAAGTTGGATGCAATTCTGATCAGTCTGCATTTATATGATTCTTGGTCTTTTTCCTTTGTAGCTCTTAATATTCTTTCTTTATTCTGTATGTTTAGTGTTTTGATTATTATGTGTTGAGGGGATTTTTTTTTTGGTCCAGTCTATTTGGTGTTCTGTAAGCTTCTTGTACCTTCATAGACATGTCCTGCTTTAGGTTGGGAAAGTTTTTGCTATGGGATGATCCTTCTGTATGCTATGAATATGTATTACTCTCATTGATTAATAATAAAGATGTTTGGCCAATGGCAAGGCAGGATAAAGTTAGATGAGACAATCAAACTTAGGACTGGGATGAAGAAGGGCAGAGTTGGGTGAGATGCAAGCCAGCCACCCAAGGAGCAAGATGCCAGAGAACTGGTAAAACCACAGCCACATGGCAATACTTAAATGAATAGAAATGGGTTAATTTAAAAGTTAGTTAATAATAAGCCTGAGCTAGTGTCCAAACATTTTGTAATTAATATAAGCTTTTGTGTGATTGTTTGTGAACAATGGTCGGGACAGCAAACTCTGCCTCCATTTACAAGTTTTCTTCTATGATTTTGTTGAATATATTTTCTGTGTCTTTGAGCTGGAATTCTTCTCCTTCTATCTATATTATTCTTAGGTTTGGTCTTTTCATAGTGTCCCACATTTCCTGGATGTTTTGTGTTAAGAATTTGTTGGATTTAAGGCTGGAGAGATGACTCAGTGGATAAGAGCACTGGCTGCTCTTCCTGAGGTCCTGAGGTCAATTCCCAGCAACCACATGGTGGCTCACAATGAGATCTGGTGCCCTCTTCTGGCCTGCAGACAGAACACTGTATACATAACAAATTTTTTTTAAAAAAAGCATTTGTTGGATTTAATATTTTCTTTGACCAATGAATCTGTTTTCTCTATCATATCTTCAGCACCTAATATTCTTTCTTCCATCTCTTGTATTCTGTTGGTTATGCTTGCATCTGTAGTTCCTGTTCATTTATCCAGATTTTCCATTTCCAGAATCCTCAGTTTGTGTTTTCTTTACTGCCTCTATGTGGGTATGCCAAGCACATGTCGGGCTGCAAAAGCCAAAGATGGTGCCGAGAGGAAATGGACAAGGACCTAACTTGTTTACCAAAAATTATGATTGGGATCAGGAGAGATGACACAGGTGCATGGCCTCCTCCTGATCATCGTGCTGAGCTATGCCCCGAGGGGCTCATGGATACATGGCCTTTGTTGTGACTGGTAGAAGGAAAGCTGGCTTGTGATTTGGTGCTTTATAAAGGGTGTGATGATGCTTAATAAACGAGTTCCTGCTTGACCTGGCTTCCCACTTTGTCTGATTGTCTCTGGGTACCTAAAGGCTGGGTGACTGGCCGGTGGCACACTACCCCTCCTCAGTCAAGGTCTGCTGCAGGTGGTGGGCCTAATTCTTGGTGGGATCAGGGGAACCCCACACCTCTATTTCAATTTTTAAGTCTTGAACTGTTTCCTTCACCTGTTTGATTGTTTTTTTCTTGGCTTTCTTTAAGGGGTTTATTGATTTCTTCTAATTTTTGTTTGTATTTTCCTCTATTTCTTTATGGGAATTTTTAATTTACTCTTTAAGGGCCTCTACCATCTTCATAAAATTATTTTGAAGGTTGCTTTCTTCTGATTCTTCTGTGTTGGGATGTTCAGGTCTTGCTGTTGTAGAACCACTAGGTTCAGGTAGTGTCGTTGCTCTTTATGTTGTTGAATGTATTCTTACACTGCCATTTACTCATCTGGGTTTAGCATAATTATAGGTACAGGTGTTGCTTCTTGTGATGTCTTTGTTGGGTGGGTCCTTTGTTCCTTTATTGTCTTCTGACCAGAATGACCAGGGATTCTGGTGACTGGCTGTTGTCAGGTTGAGAAGGGTTGTCTCAGCTGAGGTTTATGGGGTTGGGTGCCTAGCTCCAGTGTATGGTCCACTTCTTCTGGCTGGTGTGGGCTGTACCTGTGCCTATGGGGTCTGTCCTTCCAACTGGTGTGGGTTGTGCCTGTGCCTGTTTTTCCAATTGGTGTGGGTAGTGCTCGTACCTCTAGGGGCTTCTGATGTTGTGGGAGATGTTTGGCCAGGGTGAGGATGATGGGTTCAGTGGGTTTGAGCAGTGGTGTGGGTCTTGTCTTGTAGGTTATAGTGTCCAATAGGTGGCAGTGGTGGTGGAGCGGCCTGCACACATGATCAAAAAAAGATATTTTCAATACAATTACATCAACTCTGATTAATGCATTCTTGCATGTGGAAAAATAATTTGTGGTCACTTTAGGAATAAGTTCCACAACAAACAAATTGCAGCATTTATTTAATAATGACTACTAAAATAATTTAAATTAGAAAATAATGTAACTTCTGTAGATGTATCCGTCTCTTTAAATAAGAAACACAGAGCTGATTCAGAAATGAAAGCCAAGAGGTCAGAGCAATAGCTAAGAGCTGAGATTAAAAACCTTACCCTTCACTGCTGCTGCTGTCCTACCTCTCCGCAAGAGAACTACTTCCTGTGTGTTTGTGCTCTTAATTGACTTTCTATTCTGCCTTCTCATTGGTTGTAAACCCAACCACATGACTTCCTCGTCACTGCCCGTCTGTACAGACCTCCAGGTCTTCTATGGTTGGTATTGAGATTAAAGGCATGTGTATCCATGCTGGCTGTATCCTTGAACACACAGAGATCTGCCTAGCTCTGCCTCCCAAGAGCTGGGATTAAAGGCGTGCACCACCACCACCCAGTTTCTGCTATGGCTTGCTATTAGCTCTGACCCCCAGGCAACTTTATTTATTAACATACAAATAAAATCACATTTCAGTACAATTAAAATATCATCATAAACTTTAGTCAGATATAATTTACATTATATCAGATGTCATGTACATATTACAAATATCTCAGAATTTAAGTAGGAAATGTACACATACATCTATTTAAAGTATATTTTAGGAAAATTGATTAAAAATTATCTTCACTAAAAGGAATGTGTATACATATCCACATTTGTGTGACCTGCACAAATTTAATAAAATATGAAATGTGGCTGGGCGGTGGTGGCGCATGCCTTTAATCCCAGCACTCAGGAGGCAGAGGCAGGTGGATCTCTGTGAGTTCAAGGCCAGCCTGGGCTACAGAGTGAGTTCCAGGAAAGGCACAAAGCTACACAGAGAAACCCTGTCTCGAAAAACAAAAAAAAAAAAAATGGAATGCTAGGATTTCAAAAGTTTATGGGATATAGCATCAGTATTTAAGTCAAAACACTTACCTGCTAAATAAGAACAGCTTGAGACATTCCAGTCCAGTCCAGAAGCAGTCATCTTTACACCATAAAAGTAAAAACAGCCTTTTTCTAACCTTTGCATCGGTTTTCAGTTGAGACAGAGGATGAGGGTTTGCC